TCATGCAGCATTAGGACTTATACTGCTGACAAAATGTTCTGATCAAAGCTCTGGAGACTTTGTTTTTATCCAGAGCGGACATGGGGTCCATTTTCCCAAGTGGACATGGGCTTTTAAAGTGCTCCAACAATAGACAATTTGATTTGCAGGCAAACATGTACCGTCCTATAAATACATTGCCCCTTTTTTTTAGCTTTGGGGTTTATTTTCTTAGCCGCTTCTTCACAGCATTGCAACAAATTAAAAGATCAAATTAGTGCAGGTTCCTCTTTCCTGAACAGCATGGGCACAGCTGAGAGCCAACGGGCTTACAGCAATCTGCCTCGGGGCAGACAAGAACACAGGATGTATCACTGACAGAAGAGAAAGGCTCATCCACTGTATACCTGACTATTGCTCATTCACCAGAGCTCTCTACATGGACGACATCACAATACAGCTGAATGACTTATTAAAGAGTGGATTTAAAAGGTTCCACYTGAAACTTAGAATTACATCGACCGCAATTAAACCAGAACATGTCTCCTTTCGCCACTCAAGACAAAAAAAATCATTTTCTGCTGCCAAATTCCTCAAATTCCAATCATCATGATGTCAACCTTGAGCGGTTTTGTTGTTTCGCTGAACACACTTTTCAGTCCAGCATTGAGCTAAAACTATGTCACTGCTCATCCATTTAGTCTAATTTTAAGCTAAAGTAATAACAGATGCACTGGACTTTGGGGTTGGACAGTCTCCAGTTGGGCAGCAGTGCAAGTGTTTACCCGCCAGACATTCCCTCAGTTGTTGCCTTTGGGGGTGAAGGTTTGAACATACAGCAGCAAGGAAAGAATGGGATTTAAAAAAAAAAAACCAGGAAACTAAATTATCTGAGGTGATTTTTTCCCCCCTCAGGTAAGTGTCCCATTTGATATTTGACATCTCATGTTTTGTTGTTAAAACTAAAAACTTTCTCTTTCCCTAAGAATCTCTGCAGTCTTCATTTTCAGCTCCATCAAATAGATATAAGTGGGTTTGATGGAGGCATCTACCATGTTAATGTTTTGTGTTCCAACTCTTTAAGAGCCATTATTTGTTTTTTTGTTTAATGCCATAAAGTTTTCTAGTTTATTTTATGTCGAATACAACAGCTGCACAATATACTGTATAGTTTGCGCATCTTCATGTAGATGTGCACAATACGCTGCAGGTCCTGCGATGTAGGAGGCAAAATACATTAAAGTAGGAATAAAC